CTGCTTCTCCCTCTTTACAAGATTCATTTTCCCTGACAAACAGAATTTCAAATTCTTATAAAATTCAGATTTCCTGGAACCACAGAGACAGGGTGAATTCCCCAAACCATTGCCCTGAAATAATCTTCAAAATTTAAACCAAAAATATCCCCTGAAGTCTTGTTTAAACAATAGTCTAGCTTAATTAGGAAAGAATGCCCGCTTTGGGCAGTGTGATTTTAAAAAGAACTTTCTGTATAGCATCAAATTAGGAACAGCAACTCCCAACATTAGAGAAGAAATTTAGGGTCCTGTGAATTTATATTATTCATGAAGGAATGCCTCAGAAGAAGATGCAGAAAACAATTGCATGCCCTGAACAATGAAATTGAAATTACTGAATTGTACACTTAGAAACTCTTGAATTAGTGTATATTTTGCCTGTACACTTTCAACAACAAAAATAATTTTGCTTTAATTTTTAAAAATGTCATCCTCTCCCTTGTTTGTTTGTCCTTCATTTGTTTCTGCTTGCTCTTCAGAAAGTTGTTTCTATAAGGTTCTTAAAGAATGTGAAAGTTTTTATGCAAAAAGCATTTAATTAAATTGAGTGCATTGGGAACTATTATATGTTTTGGAAACACAATAGTGTTTAGTTTAGTATTAGTATTTAGTTGATGGAACCTGAGCCCTACCAGCGAGATACAAGTGACAATTGCTGCAGTATGTTAGAAGCAATGGTTGCTGTGAAAGGAAGTGAGAAAGAAGATGAATAAGAGTTTAGGGTTAGAAAATCATCCAGATATCATCAATAAGAAAATTAACTTAAGCAGAGACCCAAAGGAAATGAATGGGTAAACCACTGGAATAATTGTGGGAAAAGAGTTCTAGACCTATAGAAGAGTTCAGTGCAGATACGTACGGTTGGGACATGCTGGTTGTCTACCAGGAGCAACAAAGAGGCCATTGTGTTTGTAGCAGAGTGTGCAGGAGAGGAAGCCATAGCTGATGAGGTCAGAGACGGGAGGGTAGGAAAGGATGGCAAGCTTTATTGACCATGAAAAGACTTTAGAATTCTTTGAATGTCAAACATTTGAAGAGTTTTCTACAGAAGATTGCTCAGGAGACATGTCATTTTTTATGTTTTTCAAGATCAGTTTAGAAATTCTGTTGTAAAGAAAATATAGATTGTGAGAGAGAACAAAAAATGGAGGAATACTAAAGGAAGAATGCCAGTGAGTGGGTATAATAACCCAAAGAAAAATGATGTGGACTTGGATCAAGGTAGTAGCAAATGAGGTAGTGGGAAACTGAGATTCGGTATTTGTTTTGAAGATTAACGTGATTGAATTTGATGTTATATTACATGTAGGGGTGATAAATGGGCGGGGGTGGTAATAGATGATGCTAAATTTTAGCCAGAGTGACTAGAATGAAATGTGCTGCCATTTATCAAAATGAAATTTGGGATTAAGAAACAGATTTAGCAGCAATTCTGTTTGGAAGTCCTGTTTGGGACACACTGAGTTTACCTGTAGGATCCCTGCATGGACTGCAAGGTAAGTGTTAGACTACTGGCCACAAGGTCATTGGTTTACAAACACTGTCCACTCCAAGAGAGAACGGTACGGTGGTCTTCTCCCATAAATATTAATACAGCCTCCCAAACCCTACATTCTGTCCTGGGAGACAGAATTGAATTGATAGCAGTGGTTTAGAGGATCCCTGAGCATTGGAGTAGACAGCACACAAAAATAACATTAGCTATCCACATGGAGCTGCTGAATAGGCAGAGGAAACTCAGGGTACCAGCCCCAAATGGATGTAGCTATTTGGATCTGTCATTTAATACATAACACTTGAAGTCTATAAAAGAAATTAAATTTCCAATGGAATTGCTGACTTGTGAGCACTTCACTATTTAATGTGGTGAAAGATTCAAGGAAACATGCAAGGTTGACGAGGCAGAAAGAAGAGCTGTGGCAGGCTCAAAGTCAGGAAAATGTGCTGTTCTCGGAACCAAATCCTGGGTCAAGAAGATTTCAAATGAAAAATGTATCATTGGAAATTATCACTGAAAATGACATTTCCTAATATACTAGGAACATGAAAGTTCTGGGAGTGCTATGAATGAGCGAGATTAGTCTGCATTCAGGAGAGTTTACGAGAGGAGAAACTGCAGAAGGGGAGCAGTTAATAACCTAAGACAGTTTTATGAAAGAAAACAGATATTCAAGATTGGTAAAATAGAAGAGCCTCAAAGATATTTCTTTCTAATTAAGATAAGAGAAATTAGAGGATTAACAAAAAATAACCAGGGTGCAAATGATTTACCAGAAAAGAAAAAAAATGTTCTAAAAGAGAAAGATGAATGTAAAGAAACCATTATGTTCATGAGAAAGGTAAAGGTCATGAGGCCAGCACACAAGTGAGAGGAGGGGCTTGTCTTACATGGAAGCATGGGCAGGTCAGTGACACCATAGGAGAGAAGCAACATGTATGATAGAAGATGGGTGGTTTAGGTAGATGGGTGAGTGTGGTCATAGAAAATTATGAAAATACTGGCATGGAGTAGGGAACCAGTGGAGATGTCTGAGGGGCTGGCCCCAATCCTAACTACTACGTGGACACCTGCCCCTCCACCCAGAAGAATTTATTTCAAAGTATGGCATTGAATCTGCAGCTCTGGGAGAGGGACATGTCTGATCGAAGCACACGGGAGCAGATGAAGGGGGAGGAGGAAAGAGTGAGGCACATCCTGGCCCACCAGGCCTTGAGGACGATGTTCCGGATTAGAGCAGCCAGTCCAAAGAACCACATGGCTGGCCCCACTATAAGACATAACATCCCTCACTGACCTTTAGCCCTACAGGGGACAACACCGGAGACACAGTGTGGGAATTGCGCCCGATCAGATCCCGCCACACCAAGGCAGAACACTAAGGAGGTGCAACAGAACAGCAAGGGAACGAAGCAGCGAGGTCCCCAGGGAATGCTGAAGGTGGACTTTGGGTCCAGGGCATGGTTCCCCAACAGACTGGACTGGAAAACACTCCCAAAGGCCAACAAACAGTCCTTGAACTAACTACAAGCTTTTCTTTCTTATAGTTGTGTTTTGTTTTTTGTCATTGGTTTGTTGTTGTTGATGTTTTGTTGTATATTACTGCTTGGTTTTGCTCTGTCTTGTTTTTGTGCATGTTATTATTTCCTCAGTTCTGTCTAAATAAAATAAGCTGGATGAACAATCTGGAGGAGAAAACAATGGACTGAGAGTTACGGGAGGACATGGGAGAGGAGGAGATGGGGGGAAAGGTAGTGGTGCTAACAAACCCAGGGACAAGGGAACAACAAGTAATCCAAATCAGTGGTGAAGAAGGTGTGGGAGGCCTGGTAGGGCATGATCAAGGGTAATGTAACCAAGAGGAATTACTGAAACCCAAATGAAGACTGAGCATGATAGTGAGACAAGAGGAAAGTCAAAGGAAATTGAAGAAAGAGCTAGGAGGCAAAGGGCATTTATAGAGGTCTAAATAATGGCATGTGCATATGCAAATATATTTATATATGAGAATAGGAAATAAATCTATGAGCATATCTTTATAGGTTTAGTATTAAGGGAGCAGAAGGACATTGGGCCTCCACTCAAGTACTCCCTCAATGCAAGAATACTTTCTTCTATTAAATTGGCATTCTATGATGCTCACCTTCCCGACACAACTGCTAAAGACAAAGCGGTTGAATAAGCAAATGTGGTGAAGAAAGCTGATGGTGCCTGGCTATCAAAAGATATAGCGTCTGGGGTCTTAAAAGCTTGAAAGTAAGCAAGCGGCCATTTAGCTCAGAAGCAACAAAGTCCACATGGAAGAAGCATACCAGCCTGTGTGATTATGAAGTGTTGAAGGGATCAGGTATCAGGCATCAGCAGAACAAAAAATCTAATCATAGTGAATGGCAGTGGGGAGTGGGGAGTGGAGACCCAAAGCCCATTTGTAGGGCACTGAACATCCTCTTACAGAAGGGTCACGGGGAAGAGACAAGCCAGTCAGGGTGCGATGTAGCAACGATGAAACATACAACTTTCCTCTTGTTCCTAAATACTTCCTCCTCCCCCACTATCATAATCCCAATTCTACCTTACAAATCTGGCTAGACCAGAGGATGTACACTGGTACAGATAGGAACTGGAAACGCAGGGAATCCAGGGCAGATGATCCCTTCAGGATCAGTTGTGTGAGTGGCGATACTGGGAGGGTAGAAGGAGGGTGGGTTGGAAAGAGGGAACTGATTACATGTGACCTCCCTGGGGGATGGACAACAGAAAAGTGGGTAAAGGAGACTGTGCAAGATATGACAAAATAATAATTTTTAAATTATCAAGGGTTCATGAAGGGGGAGCGGGGAGGGAGGGGGAAAAATGAGGGGCTTAGATGGAGAGCAAATGTTTTGAGAATGATGAGGGCAATGAATGTACTAATGTGCTTTACACTACTGATGTATGTATAGATTGTGATAAGAATTTTATGAGCCCCTAATAAAATTATTTTTAAATAAAGAAGAAAAAAATATTTTTCTTAATGAAATTTTACAGGATCATTAACAATGAAGTATTAGAGTGGAGGTTCTAGACACTGTAGGAATCTGCAGCTAGAAGAGAGGCTATGAGTTAGACACTATGGTGAATGGGAGAATGAATGGACTACGGAAGTCCCTCTTTCCTGTCTTTTTAGTGACCTCTGCTTCTTCGTGTATGATGTGCTTGATGTCATCTCACAACTCTCCAGGTATTCTATAATTAATGTGCAATAAGTCAAATATGTTCTTGAGATATCCTTGATGCGCAGGTGGAATATACTTAAGATCTCATTATGATTCTTGTGGACTTAATTTTATTCAACTTCAATTTGAACTTCCATATGAGCAACTGATGGTCAGTTCCACACTCAGCCTCTAGGTTAATTTTGGCTGCTGATACTGAGGTGCCCCCGTGTCTGACCCCACAGATGCAATCAATTCGATTTCTGTGTATTCTATTGGAAGAAGTCCCCATGGATAGCCTCCATTTATTTTGTTGGACAAAAGAGGTTGTTGGTCTTACAAGGCTAAATTCTTCTGTATCCACTATCACAGACCCTAACCCAGAAAACCAAGCTCATTGCCATCGCGTTGATCCTAACTCTTGATGACTCATGTTACAGGACACAGTAAAACTGTCTGTCCCTTTGGGTTTCAGAGACGGTGACTCTTTGAGGGAGCCTATGGTCTGTTGTTTATCATATGGTGTGGTTGGTGTGTTGAACTACTGACTTTGACAATAGCAGCTTACTGCATAACCCACTACCTCACTGGGGCTCCTTGCTCTCACATACACTGTCACAGTATTAGGCTTGCATACAGAACAAATGAAGGGTGTTCATTTCCCAAGTCAAAAGTATGCACTTACTTTTAATTTGCATAGAAGTGAGATCAATTCTTATTTTGCTGAAGACAGTGTATCCAGCAGCCAAGTAGTCGTTCTTACATTCGCAATCTTTCCTCCTACTTCCATTAAAAGGGCATTCATATGGATTTTGTAGTCTACAATAATATCAGAATATATTTTGTGTTTCTGACATTATTAGATAAATAGCAAATGTTTATAGAAAACAAATCCTGGTGTTTAATACCATAGTGTCAATAAGCAAAATGGGAAAGGACCAGGACTATAATCCATAGTGACCAAAAAGCTCAATCTGAAATTAAAGAGTTATTGTGGAAAAATAAGTCAGCTGCCATTCTCCTAGCTTTTACTATCAATATTAATTAAATTCCCATGAAAATTCATGCAATCATTCTCTGAGCACATACTAACACTCAACTATTTATTGGTTAAGAATAGTATAGGTCTTAGGTCCTAATATTTTCATCTGCTTCAGAATTTTTTCCTCTGTGTGAGTCATGCAACTATCATATCCACTAGTTTCAAATGCCCTTTAAGAAATAAAAAAATTACACCCAAACTGTCATCAAGTTAGTTCCTGCTCAAGGCGATGCTATGTGCTACAGAACACAACCACTCTGTGGATTTTCTTGTCTGTAATCTTTTGGGAAGCAGGTCAATAGATTTTTCTTCTATGGTGCATGTTAGGCAGGTTTAAACCACCAACCTTTTGTATCACCCAAGGATCCTATAAAAGTGCACAGAGAGTCAAAAGCAAAGCTTGTACCTAAAGCTATAGACCTCAGAAAAGTTGTCTTCTTCCCTTTTGACCAATGATAGGTACTCCTCGGGATTCTCCAACTGCATGCCCACACAATAAATCTGAAAGAAAAATGCTTTTAGAAATCTAGACTACCTTCTTCAAAAGTCAACCATCCGGGTTAACATCAAAAAGAACGATTTTAATAATACCTTGATCATTCTTCCCTGAATGGTAAGGTAATATTCCCCATCCTTCTTGATGCTATTTTTCACTTGGACGTCTTTGCAACTGGTAAATGTTTTACCTTCAAGGACGAGGGAATAACACCTTATCAGCACTAAACAAAGGAAAAGCTCAGAAGGAACCTAACTGGATCGTAAAATACACCCCCACCCTCTGAAGACTGGGACACTTCACTTTGCAGAGAACCTGGCCTCTACAAACATTTATTTTTTTAAGTTACAGTATGATGGCTAAGGAACACTTTTGTAGTGGCCTTCAAAGCTCTTACTTACAGTCAGTGTCATAACATTTCTTTTGCGAGTGTGGTTTCAAACGCTTTAAACATACATCACTGGGCCAACCACCTTCAGTCATACATGCCACTCTTCTCTCCATGATCCCAGCTCCACATGTCACGGAACACTGTGAATAGATTAGACAGGGAACGCGAACTATCAGCTGGATAGCAAGGTCAGGAAACAAGCTTCTCCTCTCAGGTTCAGCTATTGTGGAGGAGAGGGATGATCACACGAGTGATGTAGAGGCTAAAGACCACGAGGGCTGGACACTCATGGGGGGTGGGGGCATTTGGCCCCAGCCTGACGATTATTTCCCAACGACTGGCTTTTATTTTACTTTTATTTATTTATGTTCCTTCTATTTATTTTGTGACGTTATATCCACCGTGCATTTGTAAATGCTTAATAAACATTAATTAATGATGGTTATTAAGATTACTTAGAATTTGTTCTCATTCATTTATATGATAATATTGAAGGCTGATATTTGCTTGCTGCTTATCAAGTCAATTGGGAAGAAAATACAATCCAAATAGTGTTTAGTCTGTATATATTAGATCCATTTACTTACTCAAAATAAATATTTGTTAAGCACATCTTCAAAGTGAAAACCACGGTGTAAGGCTCTCTTAGGAACAGAAATGAGAATTACTTGTTGTCTCCACTTACAAAAAGGATGCAGGAAGAAAGGGAGATGAGTTGCACAAATAACCGAGTAGGTAGTTTCTGGACAGCAGGGATAGAAGACGACTCTGCTGATCCAGTTAGACGTGAAGATGACTGGGAATCCCACAGCTCGAGCGTCTCCATGAGGTTTTTAATCCATTATAATATACTGACCTTGCTCCACTTTCCAACTCTCCAAGTGGCCACTTGCAAGCAACTCCTAAAATTGCATTTGTAGATCTGAGGGGAAGGTAGCACAGGGCATTCTCGGTAGCCTACAGGCCAGAGCTGATGAGACAGGAATTTCTTAGGAGAACGGATCCCAATACAATATGTAATCCTTTGTGCATAACTAAATCCACAGTTGTCTGCACACTAAAAAATAAAAAAAAAAGTTACAAGGGAGAGTAATGTGCCTTTTAGTTTAGTCACCTGACCAAATGTGTACCAGGCACTAAATATATTTTATGCTATGCCACCCCCAATAATAATCCTATTTTTATTAGCGTCATTTTATAGATGAGTAAACAAGGGTTCGGAGACATTAGGCAACACTCTCAGAGATGTGACAATAAGTGGAAGGATCAAAGTTCAGCCCCATTTCTCTGTTAGTGCTCGTGCTTTTTTACCCTAACACAGCCAAGAATGCCCTAACTGACTGAGAATGTACCTGTTAACATGCACAGATCTGAAAAACGAGGCATACTGGAGATCATAACCTAGTGGTATTTTTTGTTAGTTTGTTGATTATCCTTTACTTTAGGTTGCTAATTATGGATAAAGCAGTATAAATGTAAAAATGTATTTATTACACATGTGATATAAGGATCTAACTAAAATAGGTAACTGATTTATTTATAAATTAAAATCCCAGCCCAAAAGAGGGGCTGGTATATAGGCTTGGCTTGTGCTTTCACAAAAAATCAGGTTATAAGAAATGGAATTCATCCTCCCGCTTGAAACAACCAAAACAACTTGACCCAAAAAAAGCAAAATTGTGGTTTTTAAGACACTGAGCATCTAGCGATGAAGAATAATGATCCTGCACTAACCTTCCCAAGGGGAGGGTATTGTTTATATCTCCACAGGGAAAGAGGGACCAGACTTCAACCCAGGGCTCCAAGATGTGAATGCAACACGCCAGCATGGAGTAGGGAACCAGTGGGGAGGTCTGAGGGGTCGGCCCCAAGTCCAACTACATGGACTCCTGCCCCTCCCCCCAGAAGAATTTATTTCACAGGACAGCACTGAAGCTGCAGCTCAGGGAGAGGGACATGTCTGATCAGAGCACACGGGAGCAAATGAAGTGGGAAGAAGAGAGAGTGGAGCACATCTTGGCCCACCAAGCCTTGACGAAGAGATTCCTGCTCAGAGGAGCCAATCCACAGAGAAGACCATATGGCCGGCCCACTATGAGACACGATATACCTCACTGACCCATATCCCTACAGGGGACAACACTGGAGACACAGTGTTGGAATTCTGCCAGATCTGATCCCACCAAACCGAGGCAAAACACTAAGAGAGTGCAACAGAATGACAAGGGAAAGAGAGCAACAAGTTCCCAGGGAATACCAACAATAGACTTTGGGGCCAGGGCTTGGTGTGTCCCATCAGACTCAACCGGAAAACACTGCTGAAGGCCAACCAACAGTCCATGGACTAACTACAAGCTTTTCTTTCTTGTAGTTGTGTTTTGTTTCCTTTTGTTGCTTGGTTTTTCTGTGTCTTGTTTTTGTGCATGTTATTATCTCCGCAGGTCTGTCTAAATAAGATAGGCTCAATGAACACTCTGGAGGAAAAACAATGGACTGAGAGTTCTGGGAGGACATGGGAGAGGGGGAGGTGGGGGGAAAGGAAGTGGTATTAACAAACCCAGGAACAAAGGAACAACAAGTGATCCAAATTGGTGGTGAGGAGGGTGTAGGAGGCCTGGTAGGGTGTGACCGAGTGTAATGTAACCGAGAGGAATTACTGAAACCCAAATGAAGGCTGAACATGATAGTGGGACAAGAGGAAGGTAAAAGGAGATAGACTAAAGAGCAAGGAGGCAAAGGGCATATATAGAGGTCTAAATAAAGGCATGTACATATGTAAATATATTTATATATGAAGATGTGGAAATAGATCTATGTTTATATATGCATAGGTTCAGTATTAAGGTAGCAGATGGACATTAGGCCTCCACTCAAGTATTCTCTCAATGCAAGAATACTTTGTTCTATTAAACTGGCATTCCATGATGCTCCCCTTCCCAACACAACCGCTGAAGACAAAGTAGGTGCATAAGCAAATGTGGTGAAGAAAGCTGATGGTGCCAGGCTATCAAAAGATATAGCATCTGGGGACTTAAAGTCTTGAAGGTAAACAAGCGGCTACTTAGCTCAGAAGCA